GTTACACGAATCCCTGCAGCCCGTAAATTCGCCTATTTATCGAATTCGAGAAATACACCAGATTCTCGTTTCTAAAACCAGCACGACGGAAAATCACGAAGAGATCCGAGTTCAGCCAATAAATCCTTCCCTTATCGCGTCTCTCCGAAGACACGTTGCGGCAGAATAGCATAAACTGACCAAACTCGACGAAAAAAAAAAGAGAGAAACGCGCTTTTACAGACAGCACAGCCAGTGTCGAGTTTATTTCACTGCCCCGAGATAGAATCGGAAATGCACGAGTTATGCGTTTTAATAAATTCCCTCAAGACAGCATAGAAAGAGAGAGAGAGAGAGCAGCTGGACGATAAAAATCCAGCGACCAATTGCAAGACTCGAAGGACTGTCAATCCTTGAGAAGAACGTAACTTCACACCTTTCGAAACCCCTCTCGACTTATTATATCCATTTTACAGCATCGAATCCTTCGAAAAGCTGAATTTCCCGGAAACATGTTCTCAGCCTAAAATCAGTGAAATTGAAAATGTTCGATACTTCGTCTGTTGCGACTGCAAAAGTTGCTTTATGAGAGGATGTTTCTCGAAACCTGTGTGAACGAAATTATTTTCGAGTTACGTTAATCCTTTCACCGCTGTTTGGCGCCTATAGACGAAAATTTGGAAGAATACAGCGTTCTCAGCGTCTATTTTATTTGCTCTGTGCTGTTAACGCGTTTTAGTGCACTGTCGCCGTAATTTAATGCTTAATTTTCGTTCTTTGCACACTTCCATCGTGATTGAATAGAAGAAAACGACGCAAACGGATTGAAATCTGCTTTGAGGGTTAAAAAAGAAGTTTGGTCATCAGTGTTGCACCCTTTCGTCTCCATTGAGAAAATGAGCTTTTCTTATAAATTACCGAAGTGACTGTTGACAAAATTTCACTGCAAGCGAGCCTATTTTGCGTCTCATTTAAGACACAACACTTTCGTGTATCAGGTAATCCCGTAAGTTCCTGTCGAATTTTCTAATTTAGATCCAAATTTCCAACTAACCTTGAAATTCGATAAAAAAAAAAAAAAAGAAGCAAGAATCTTCTCGTTCCTCGACTATTTTCTATTTTTTTCTATTTCAGTATTTCCTTGGATTTTCGTTAAAATACTTTTCCCTTTCAGGACGAACCTACGGGACGACCTAATACAACGAGAATCGACGTTCTTATTTTTTATTTCACTGAAATTACAACGTTTCGACGAATAACAGAAAACCAAAGTGTGTATACGTGTGTGTATACGTAAGAAGAAGTAGAAAGAAGATAAAAGCGAGACGTTTCTATAAATCGTGTATCGCAAGGGTACCTTGGCAAGTATTTTTCAATATTCACGAAAGGAACGATCGCAGGCGAAGAAGAAAGTGCTTTAGCTGTATGTTATAATCTGAAACCGTGGAAATGAAAGCGTTCCGGGGTGCCTTTATGATACGGCAGAGAAGCTTCTACCTACAGTCATCAAGCATGGTTCCGCCGTTTGTCGTTCACGTGAGAAGAACCGCGGTGCGCATAGAACACGCGTCGTGCACGAGAAAATCCATTTTCTTCGTTTCCCTGTGGCGGCCTGAAATGAAAGTGGAATTTCGATTTTTAATCGCCAGGCAACATCGCCGGTGTGTTACATTGAAAAGTACTCCAGCACCGAAGGATCGTTTCTTTTCATCTACCTGCCGTATTTTATCGATGCACAGAGAGAATGGAGGAGAACGAAGAAAACGCCTATCTATCCTGCACGGATTTTCTCTCGACGTTTAAGTTAAACACGTGTAGAGAATATGGAGGAATCTGAGGAAACTCATCGATGATGAAATGATCATTTGCGCTAGGAGAACCTGTCTGGAAAAAAGAAGAAGAAGAAAAAGAGAAGTGATTAACTGTTGACCCTTTGATAAGTGCAATTTTTTGAAATTTGTTTGTATTTTCTTTGGCAAAAAGTAAGATACAGCGTTATAAGTAACGAGAGATTTATTTCTATACGCCCAGGAAATAATTTAAAGAAAATAAATAAAGCTGATCACGTTTGGCCCATGAAATTGAGGAAAATGTGAGTTTAAATGGGGAATCCCAATCGAAGCGACGAACTATCGATTATTTTTTACACAAATTCGACAAAATCCTACATTTCAACGTAGCAATGCCAGTTGTTTCACAAAGTCTCGTTACCTTACCTTCAACATCCCAGATTCAAGATCTTCTTTGCCACATGAATTTCTCGAAAACTGTCAACCTTAACCGGTTAACCGTTAAAATCACCAGAGCCTACATATTGCAAGAATCTCATCTTATGCTCTATTTACGCAAGTTAAACAGTTTTGTCTGCAATTGCGTCTCATCCGTTCTAAAGTTCTGAATCACAGAGGCTGAACAAGAGACCTTTTGCTAGATAACGTTTTGCCTTCAAAAGGTATCGTCGTAGGTTAAGGGTAGCCAACCAAGGCTCTCTCTCTCTCTGTCTTCTTCCTCTTCTACGTGTAGCTTCTGTCCAGACAAAACGCAGGTTCGTGTAGGTGGCCGACCGAATGGAAGCAGCCTCCTGAAGATTGCAAAAGCAATTTCCACCGACAATGCAGTCCACTTTATTCCACGCATGGTGCGTGTGCCCTTTCTCTCAGCATTCACGCGTAAGGGTCGACCACCACGGCGGAATTCACTCTCTTTTATTTTTCTTTTTTTTTTTTTGGATACGCCCCCTTCGTCCTGCCAAAGAGAGACCCTTGTCCCGACAGGAAGGGTTGAAAGGACTGAAGGGTGGGAAAAAAAAGAGGAGAAAGAATGCAACGCGTCGGAAACATCGAAACGAGTCGTTCCACTTCAAAGGGATGTTGCTTATAAACCCTTTTGCACGGAGTTCGAGAAAGCGAAATTCGCTGAGATTGTTAGGGCAACGTCGTTAAGCTAACTGCGACAGTATTGTCTTGATTTCTTGAACAGTCTGAGTATTTTAACGGAAGTAGAAGAGACGCCATCCTTGGGTGTCTGAAAATAGGTGAAGTTTGGGAATTCTTTTTTTTTTTTTTTTGATAGGTAACTACTTAACGAGAAGTTTCAATTTTCTCAGAGGAAGCAAACGCGACACTCGGCTTTCTTCTGGAATTTTTTTGAAAAGTAACAATGTGAGAAAATGGAGCAGTGATATTCGGTAATTGTGAGAACGTCTGAAATAGAAAATTCTTCTCAATTTCTGGATAAAAATTTATTACTTTTTGTCAATACAAAAATGTTTCTTGTCCTTGACTGTAGTACTGGAAGAGAAAATGGCCGACGCTTAAGTTGGGACAGTCAGGAAAAGAAATCATACGTCAAGGGGTTAATGACCACTCTCGGTGGAAAAGTGAAATGTTGGACAGGAAATGTCGGGCACGGGGAAACGGACTGGCGTTCCAGAAACTCGATCAAGCTTTAAAGACCTTATCTGAAATTGATGCGCGCGGTTGCAGTCGACCGTGCCGATCCATTTGCCATCCAGCCGCGAGAATCTTCTGTCGGCTTCCTTAGCGAGGCTGCTATTTTGTCAGGCTACCGCTTGAAATAGATAGTACTTGGCCTCGTTCACGCAACACGTCATCCCGTGAAAATATAGGCACCACCGCGTGTATACTCTTCAATTGGACGCGCGTCGAGCATATTAAAATTACTACACGCGTTAAGAATGCACAGCCGGAGACGAGAGATGTTCTCGCGAGACAGAATCGTGGTAATATTTGAGAATCGAGAGTGTAGAAAGTAAGAGCCCCCCACTTGTACGATATACAACTTTCTTATCAAATCTCTCTTTGAAATCACGGAAAAAGTGATACACAACGATACGACTACAGCGTGAAAGTGCAGTAAAATGATGTTCCGTATAATATAATTTGCCTTTGCTTGTAGAATGATATTTAAAAAGCTATGGTGGACGAGAGACGAATAAACAATCTTCTAAGAGTAAACGATTATTCGAAAACGTTTAAAAGAGGAATATTTCTGAACGAAACTAATTGTAAGTTTGAAATAAAATAATTGTAATATCGAGATATGAATTTCCTCTTGAAAGGTTACACCGTTGTACCTACAGCACCATCTATGAAGCACAGAAGAAAGTTACGAGTGATTTTTTTACTCTCCGGTAGTAAGTAAACGAACTGAGAAATATGAAAATTATAAAACGGCTGTACCGCCTGGAAATTTTGCGGGACACTGCGTGTCATCGATCAATTTAATCATGGATGAATTAATTAAACTCAGAAAATTCCAAGTGCAGCTTGCAGTGGAACCTTCTAAACAAAGTTATTATACCTAACCAGATGAAGATATACTGTTAAAATAGAAAGATGACGCGTACATTATTTTTGTTACAACCTCTGGTAAAATTATTAATAAACATAAGACGAATATAACGAAAGAAATTAGCAAATATACTAGTTGAAACTGCTTCGTAAAACTTTCCTGTCGTACTTAAACTCGATAACAAAACTGACAATCCCTTTGTGACAATTTCTATTAACGCAGCAATGTTACTGGAGAACGCTTTTAAGGGAATACATCTACGAAATTTGCTCCGAATAATTATTAAAACGAAACCAGTGCAAATAATACTATTTGATATTTATTAATATCGTTTACGCTATACTTTATAAAATAATCCTACTATTTAGTAAACGCGTTACTTCCTAAGTAACCTTAAAATCAAAATCAACTAGCAATAGGTTGAAAGTTTTGAAAAATCACAGAACTATTATTTATAAAAATTAGGGAATAAAAAATTCAGATGTTTAATACAAAGGAGACAATAATACTCTATGCTGTATTTCTACAATTATCTATAAAAATTTATTACACTATTTTTAAAAAGGCAGTAATTTTATTTCCATCTCCAATAATAAAATATATCGCATATAATTGACAAATATTACACGAATGTGAATTTGGTATACAGTGTTAGTAGAGAAAAGAAACTCTTGCAATCTCATTCTTTCTATCCTTATTATTGCGAGCCGTTTGTTCTAACGATAGAATCATTTTATAAATTTACCTACATGTAGCGTACTTACAAATACAGTATATATAATATTAATTACAAATATATCAACATTTGAAGAAAATAGAAAATTTCATCAAATAACAAACATTCTTTCCTGTTTCCTAGCATAGCTGATATGTAAAGATGCGACGTGTTTGTGCGACGACGTGAAAGCACATGTGTTTGTTCTAATAAAGATTCTCTAAAGTCAGTATAAAATGTAAATATAAACAGTTGTTTCTTAATTTCTCCCTATATCAGTAGGATGTTTCTCCCTAGAAACACTATTTAGATATTCTTTAAAAGCTGAAAATAACCTTTCATCCATCTCCTCCAAGTGTTGGTACAAAGTTGTTATAAGTTTATTTAATGTTCTTTGCATTTGTCTATCTGCCATTTTAAATGTACCTAAAAGAGTTTCCTTTAAACTTGCTTTTACATAATACCAAATAAAACGAACTGCTTCAACTATGCAATCTGAACATGTTGAACATTTCTTTGTTAGAAAACTAGCTATTTTAAATATCAACATGAGAACACTTGGGGCATCCTTTATACATTTCATGTCTCTCAATATATCATCATAGCTGGTAGTGTTAAATCTTGCATTAGTATCATTTGAATTAAATTTCTGCAATAAAGTCAATAGCAAATCTCTCAATTGGATAAACATACTTTCATTCTCACCCTCTTTATTTTCTGTAGAATTAACCTCACTAGACAGGTCGGGTTTAAACTTAATAAATGTCCTTACAAATATTATGGGATCTAATAACATAACGCCATCAATCCTCGTTTTCCCGTTATCAATCAATTTAGTATTAGATATAACAGGATTGCCTGATTTAATTCTCAAGTCTATTTTTCTATTAACATAACGTATAACTTCAGCATTTTCAGATGCTTTATCTACATTATTTGCAGCAGCGGTACGTTTTGCACGATTAAATTGCCTGCGAAGATGCTTGGATCGTATTGTAGCTCTATAATCTTCTAAAATTTGACCTTGGGTAGATTCAATGAGATCTCCCGCAAATTGTTGATTTACAACGGTATTACCAAAGAATAAAATATGAGCTGACAGTAGTGCTACATCTATAACTTTAATCTCTTCTCCTTGTGTATATTTTTCATACATACAATATGCTTGATATGCTATACCAGCGCCATTAATACTTAAACTACTTATTATTAATGAATTATATGCGATTTTGGTAGCTAGACCTATAGTCTTACCATTTTGAACAAGCTTGGAAAGAATAATATTCCCTCCACTTGAAGCTATACCAACTGTACTACCACCTATAGATAACCATGAACAAAATGCACTTCTATCCAGTGGGCTAATACTTTGTTCATGATTGTATCTATCTACCAAGTGGCTTGTTGATCTGCCAAAAGTCCATGCACCGCTTACCCCAGAAGCTATTCCCGCGCCTACAATTATAATACTGTCATTGCAGTCTCGCATATATTTCTACTCTTTTTAAAAAGAAAAAATAACTTTCAGCATAACTTTTTATAAATTGGTTTGAACAAAATTTCATTTTTTAAATTATCTTTCTGAAAACTACTTATGTAAACATATATAAAGCCTATATCAAAATTATATCCAAAGTAATTTCTACATTTATTATGTTACTTATAATTTATACACATGTATGGATATACACATCCTACAGAAACACAATTTCATACAACCTACCTGCTATTACAGGTCCAACAGGTGTGAACACAGATGCAACACATAGACCAAATCCAACAACACCTACAATGTTAGAAACTACGTCTACATAGGTAGCAGCTACAGAGGCAGTACTACATGCAGGTGATTCTACAGTTTCTAACCATACTGTTGAATAATCCACAGTAATTTCACAACTTGGATCAGGTTGATAAAAGCCATCTTTTGGAAGCACCATTGTACACTGTGGTAAAATATTTGTTTCTTTGTAATTTTCCCAATCTTTATATACTCTAGCACATGTATCAATATACCATATTTCATGGAAACACTTTTTCTTCTCAGAATTATATACATGCCTTTTTATTTTAAAAATTGGATCTTGACACACATTTATTTCTTTTTCTTCATTTTCCTTCTTTTCTTCATTTTCCTTCTTAGATACCACACACATATCTCTAGTAGGAAATGTTATATTATAAATTAATCCATAAAAAATCGATTCTTTATCTGTTCTATCGCATTTACATCCTTCTTCATAAATTATAGATCTTTTTCCAAATTCACATACTTTTTTATATATACTGTCTATCATTTTTTCAGCGTCAGGTTTGTAATAAATTGTACTAGAAATGTCATAATTATTAGTCTCTGTGAGCATGTCATGTAACATAACATTGCTTTCTGGATTTTCTGATGGAGGACCAAACATTGCAAAACCAATATTTAGCCTTAAGTACTTATATTCAGATTCCTTATATTCTGTCCATTCTGCAAGAAGTTCATAATACTCTTGTTGTCGTAATTTAGCAATTGCTAACATATCATCCTGTACAAAAATGAACAATTTATATAAAAATACAAAAGTACAGTACAGTTAAATTTCTAAGCATTATATTCATATTATAACTGATATTTACCCAGGCAGTATCTGCATCAGCCATTTTCTTTATTAATTAGAGTAAAACACTTCAATAAATAAATTATGCTGTTTATTCTCAAATTTTTATCGAATGTTTACTAGTTCTTATGGTACATTGGAATTAATACACACACGTATGAAGTCTCCGGTATATTTCAATTACAGTGTACACGCAAAAATTAAAATCAACTGACTATTGAATAACAGTTTTCGTCCATATATACTATGCACTGTAAAGGAAAACCCCGGTACTTATAAATTTGTCGGTTAAACATAGTTCTCTAGTTAGGACATCATTCCAGCCAATCTGATAACTAACAATTTCTAGACTTAATTGTGACTTTAGTAAACTTTTTATACACTGAAATGATGTACGATACGTACCAACATTAAATTATTAAATTTTTACTACAGTCCTTTTACATAAAAATATCTAAATACTATTTTAAATATTCAGACATCAAAAATTAGGCAAGAGCTAACGTACTCCTTTAATTTTAATTCAAAAAGGGGATTAATAGTTTATTACATAATAAACTATCTATAATTTTCATAATAAATATTTAAAATTTTACCAAAATTATAGAAGTTCCTTTATTTTTTTAAAAAACACTGACCTTGTTGGTTTTTTCTATAAGGAACTTTTGAAAGATATTGTTGCGTTTGGTGGTCTTTTCGCAAAGAAAAAAATATAACTAGGTGAAGACCAATCAGCCTGTTTCATGAAGCGTGAATCAGCCTATTGCTGGCCTGCACACCACGAATTTCACGATAGTTTTTCTTTCGTACGAAACGAGTAAATATAGTAAAACAAGTAATCTATAATTATAATTTTATCTTATATTGAAATACAACCCATATCTATTATACCATTGAATAAGGGGCCTTTGCATAATTTTAATTGTTATTTATATAAAAATGTTAAAGCGAGAATCTTGGCGTCAAGCACCACTCTCAATTTAAAAAGAAATATTCTTTTGTTTATTGATCGTTCGTTAATTGTTTTTCCGTTACGTAAGATTGTCTGGAGACGGGAACGATTGCTTGAGACAACGTGTCATAATTCTCGTGCCAACTGTCGGTATTATAACACACGGTTTAGCGTTCGTTGTAATCTTAATTGTAACAATTCTAAATGTTGTTAAGTTACAAGCTCTGCTATCTACTTAAATCCTAACTATATTGTATTCTAATTATATTTCGTTAACTTTTATTGTTACAATATATTTAGGTTATTTTAATTCAGACTCTAGTTAATGCCTATTCCATCGAAATCTTTAGCAGTAACATTTTGAACACGATTCTCAATTTTATTTGAATATTAAACTTCAACCAACGCGTACAAACGTAATGAGAAATTGTCAAACATAAATCTACGCAACACGTTTAATGCTGCATCAAAGAAACCGTTAATCACACCATAACTGCCCTTTTATCGACGTCGTTGTAACCTTTCCTTATCTACTGTGGTATCTGACAGCCAATCTATGCTGCGACCGGTATCTTATCGACGGATGGTGTCCATTAGTTTCTAACTTTTGTTTTGTGGACCTTTCGTGGCCATTGGGCCTTATCTAGTGATTTTATTTTTACGCGGGAAGACCACAGGACGTAACAATATATTCATTGTAATTAATTTGTTTATTATCATAAGTTTCTGATGAAAATTGTAAATGATAGTTGTTAAGATATAAATAAATGACTACTTGATAATAATTTAAAAAATGTAAAAATTTTTGTATTCACCAAATATTTCATCCATATTTCACCAAAACAATTTCGAATTAGTAACTATTTCTTAGTAAATTCATTTAATATGTCACTGTTTGAATGAGAAATGTATAAAATAACATAAAAATGTTAATACGTAACAGAAATATAAATTAAATTTTAGAATATATACTTTGGTAAAATATATTATTACATTTTGAAATATTTATGCTTATTGTAATACAAAACTTTCAGTATGAAAAATGTATAGTAATCAAAATGTATTTAATAAATTTATTACAATACTGTAATTGTGTCATAAATTTACTATTGGGAATGAAAGCTTATTAGAAATTAATTTCATTAAAGTGTAATTAAGAAAATATAAAAATTAACTTTGTTTTATTAAAATAATACGTTAAAGTGATTTAAGGACAACCTTTTATCATCTGAATTATAACTGTATATATAAATGAAATAATTTCTGTTATAACAAAAACATGATTTATAAATGTATTTGTGCAACATTTTCATATACGTATATTACTTTTTTACCTTTTTAATTAATAGCTCAGTATGGCATCAAATATAACTAAACGTTGGTGTTTTATACTATACATTTCTTTCCATAGAAAATGGTGGAAGTTCAAGCGCCTCTTGCGGGAAGAGGCTAGAAGTAAAATGCATTGGATTGTTGAATCATCAGACTTTGCTATTTAGTCTCTCGTTTAAGTAGTTCTTTTAGAAATTTACGTTCATCTGTTAGAAAAAGTTTAGCATATACGTAATGTGTCTGCAAAATTTGTATTTGCGATCACATTAAATCATCGATTTGTATAAAACTCTTCAGTCTTGAATTTTCGTGGTACAGCTCATCCATGTTCATGCTTAATCTCCAAGCGTGGTACCTGTGCGCCGACTAGCGACGAGAATCGACACTACTTTTTCTAGCGAATCGATATTCTGCTCAAATATTGACTTCGCGATTGTGCGTGGTGTCGCAAGCGAGTCGTGCAGTAGACGACGATGCTCTTTTAAAAAGCGAGTTCTTGCGAGTGATAAGTCAAGTGCTGTCGACCGGAGAATTGATAATCGGCGTATCCTGGGAACAGGAAGCAAGGAAAATGTTATTGGCGGCTAGTACTGTACTTCTCGGATTGACTCTCGGTCTCTCCCACGCGAGCATCCCAGCCTTCGAGTCGACACCGAGCTCCTTCAACAATCATGGAGGTGATTTCATTTCTCTTTTCTTGTGCCCTACATTCATCTAATCTCTTTATCGGCCGTTCCTTCCCTTAAAAAATAGTATGCAACGAATTGTTTTTACTTCTTTCATTGAACCATGCTTCACTTCATTGTATGTCCCTTGTCGAATGGTAACTCGCAGGTGCAATTGTTCTTTCGGGAGCACCTGCAGTCACCGAAACTGTTATGGCGAATTCATTGACTAGTCCCAATCGGTATTGTGATACATGTATCAAATCTCATCTTATGTCCTATCAAGCAAGGAAAAAAAAATAGGCAGATATGTGGATTATGCGTTATGATTTCTCTTATGACAGCATTAGTCACGCTTTGAGATAACAAAATAGATATGAATCAGACTGGGCTTACTCGCGTCGAAAACTCGGGCACGATTAAAGTTAAAAGGATGAAGTAACATTTTACGACACTATCGGACATACACCACTATACAGATCACATTATCTCTTATGGTTATTTGTATCTGGTGCATAATAATATTTTGATACAAGATCGAGTGTTAGATATTTGTCTATTCGAAAAATGCTATAAATAAATTTTCCCCTGGTATAGAAATGTAATTTTCAGCTGGTGAAGTTAGATTTTTACCAAGATAACGCATATGTTCAACTGTTTATTTTAGCCAGATTATAAATTTTGAGAATACATCTTTAAACATAATTTACTACGCGAAGTATATGCAGATAATTAGCCCAGATGTACTTTATATTTTATATACAGTTTTAAAAGAATTCAACTGTTACATATTATAATGATTATTAATTGAAAAGCAATTATTAATAGAATATTTTGAATTTTTTTCATTTTAAATGTTAAGAATTTCATATTTCATGTACTATCATGTTTATCGTTAAACAAAATTATTTATGAAAACTTATATGATAGGAGATTGTTGTTTTTTCCATTTTCTAAAAAACAATATCTTCAATGAAAATGTATATTTAATCGGAATCGAAATTCTTATTTTTTCGTTTTATTTTCAATAGGAATTATGTATTTGTCTCTAAAAGAATGTAAATTTTCATTTGACTTTCAAAAGTAACTGTTTTAGTGAGGAAAATTCAAACTATTATACTCCGCGGTATAATATTTTTCCCTACCAATATTTACAACCTTTATCTTTCTGTAAAATTTAATATGCGCTATAACGGAATATCGAGATATACATATATATGGTACTTCGTAACGTATCTCGAATTTCAATTTATACATTTGTTTCGCTACGCGTAAATATGACATTTGTTATATCAATGTTATAATATTTGTTTTTCTTTTAATAATTTTTATAACAAGAGTACGGCTTTAAAATGCATACAACAAGAAACGACGTGTAACACCTTTTCTCATCAATAGTTCGTAAAATATCTTGCGTAACAACACAAAGCATTAATGAACTGTACGCGACGGTGTTCAATAAAAGTGGAGCTCGATGTTACACACGACCGATCCTTTCAGTTTCGTGCTCGTCTTTTTATACAGATAAATTGTTCAACGTATCTCGATTTACGGCCACATACGTGCACATTTGACGATCATTAAAAATGATACGGTTCGTTTCGTCGATACTCCTCAAATAACAGGATTCATCTCGCTTTCATAAACGTTATTATTTAATTTCGCACGGAATAAAATCCAGTTTCAACTGAAATTAAATTAACATCCCCGTGAAACGCGCACAGACTAATGTGAAACGAACAGTTCGCGTGAAATTCATCTCGAGCACATTTTACGATACGTTCAATCGATAACAACGATCTCATTATCGACAATTGGTAAATTGGTGGAAAAATTTTTCATCTACGTTACTTCGTAACGAATAATGGTAATATAGAATTAAATGTAATTCTATAGAAATTTCATGCGCATAAATTGAGCAGTTGAAGCTTTAAAGTAAATACCTTAAAGTTGCAAATAGAAGCATTTAACTGTGCTTCTTAACGCAAATTAATTGGAAAGGTCATACGTAAAGGGAAAATATTAAAAAAAAAACATTGCATGCAGAAATCGTTTAAAATTAGAAAAAAAAAATCTGACGGAAATTTATTGTTGGTGAATTTTCATTTTATTCCTTTATAACATCTTTGTTTTTAATTGAAATTCGGTCATTATGAATGTTTCTGAACTAACGTCCTAATTCCTATTACAATAATTCCCATTCGAGAACTACATTTTTTAGTATTATATTTGATCGAGGAAAAATCATAATCTGAT